TATCAGTCAAGCGAATTAGGTGATCGTCCAAGCTTACTTAAGCCTTACATTCGTCTTGGAAAACGCACACGTATTTTTCAGGGTATATTTAGGAAAAATGTGCGTCTTGTAAACCGGAAAATACGGTATATGGCAATAAATTCTGAACAATCTCCTCCCAGATGAAGAGAAAACTGTAAGCAACAGAAATGTGTTTCTAACGAAAGATTCTGAGAATACCTTGGACACAATGAGGAAGGCTTGGCGAATTTAACACTCACAGGACATATCGAAAGCAAAAGGGACAGGGAGAGAGAGCGAGCCACCTAAGGTGACGAGCTTTTTTATATGAATGGAGGAACGGTGGGTTTGTAAAAGGGACAGACATTGCTAGGAGCTAAAAGCGATATGAAGATGTGAAGAGCCATGATCGTCTACGCCCTGAAGGGACACGCCACAAGAAACAGTATATTTTGCTATTTCTATATGACTTCGAATTTTTGTGTCATACATCTAGCGTCTCTCCATGCTTCCTAAATAGTTGAATTTCAGCACTAAGATGTAGCTGAGATGTGGTAGCAAACCTGTATGAAGAAAAATAACACCTCTGAAAGGGCGGCTGATGGTCCGCTTATACATGAATGTTGTCTTGATAAATACTGTGGATAAACCGACAGCTCTATTGCTTCTCGTAAGAACAACCATCACGTCAAAGGTCAAAAGTATCAGATAACAGCGTGAAGGAAGGTCAGCTCCCTTGGAATTGAATTTTAATCCGATACAATTTGGGACGCACGTGACAGATGTCGTCTGACTACCATCCAGCGAATATCTGCAACAAAGATCACAGACGAGATTTGAGACACTACATCACTATGGAAAGATGTAAGACAAGAGAAGGAACCGCTAAGCCGAACGATCCAGGAGTATACGGAAAATATGGAATGCGGATTGGGATTTTCTAAGCTGTAATCAGCGATTCATTTACTTAGGAGGAGAGAAGAGGAAAGAGACAGCGGGAAATATGTCCTGGTAATTATGGGAGTCCTTCTGGCGAACCCATTTAATAGGAAGATGTGGAGAGCTATGATTGCCCACGTCCTGAAGGGACAAGGCACAAAGAACAGTATATTTCGCTATTTCTATGCGCCTTGAATGAACATTTACCAGAAAGCACCAGAGAAGACCGTGATACGTTAAACAACACATTAGACAACGCCAATCCCTAGGCAGGTCAAGAGGTCACCATGATGATGGGAGAACCTAAATTCAAGTAAGACTCGAACATATTCGATAAATATGAATTCTGGTAACGCCACGAACACTGATAAAAATGTGTTCACATGCGCACAACGAATAACAGTGTAGATGGATTACTCAACACAAAAATAAAATACTTTTTCAACTCGTGCGGTTTTCTTCTTTTACGTTCCTTGTCTCTTCAGTTCTTGGGCGATCATTACCCTCCACAATTTCCTACCTTTTGTATCTCTTAGTAAATTGTGTCTCTTCTTTACTTCTTCCAATCCCAGCTCTGCGAATCATTCGCACAAGCTCCTTAGGTAGTTGATGTATTGCTTTCTTCTTTTTTTTTTTCCTAATCAATTCACTCCAAACAAGGCGATAATGCCACTAAGACGCAAGGGGCTACTGGAAGTGTAAGAGAATGAGAAGACTATATAGGTACTTCCACTAGATTGCTAAAATTCAGCATACTGTGATGAAAACATTGCTCCAAACTTAATGAAAACATAGTTTTATCGTCAAAATCGTCATTTTATTATTAAAAGGAAGGATCAAGGAAGGAATTTTTTGATTATTTAATTAAATTTTTTTACACCTTTTTAGAGCATTCGAACTTTTCATTAAAAAACCTGTTTTTCTTACGTCAGCGGTTGTACTAAGGTTTCGCATAGCAAATTTTAGCTTTTTTTGCGGTATCAGACACATTCATTTGGAAATTCTTGTAAAAATCAAATAATTGGTAGATTTTAATGAAATTTTCAGAATTTATGCACAAGTGACTGAAATTATTTTTGAAATTTTTTATTAGAAAATCTTGGAAAAATATTTTTTATTTTACATGTGTTTCTCCCCCATTACTTAATTTTATGAAAGCCTGAGAAATTCATTGAGATGATTTTTAGTGACTATATTAGTTAAAAGCAGAATTTTTTGAGGAATTTAAATCATTGATTTTTTTTTGCACAATCGGACCCGGTCTTAGCTAAAATCTGTTCTAAATCGAAAAATAAAAAACGCAGTAAAACTAAGAAATTATTTAATTAGAGAAGCTCTTAATTGCTTTTATGAATAATATATATTATATACAATATTGTTTGAAGAAAAAAGAATTTCGATGAAAAATTAATTTTACAAGATTTCTTTTCATGTTTTACAATTTTTTACAATTTAAAATTGAATAATTTCTTAAGTTTTTGAATCTTTGAAAATTTAGTTTCGATGAGATAATTCTTGGGGAATATTTTTATTAAGTAAAACTCTATTTACAAATCATATATTTTAAAGCTTATTACAATCTGAAGACCCCGACTAAAAGAATTTCGATTTGTTTATATATATATATATATATATATATATATATGCAGAATTTCTGAAGCACAGATGTACAAACCAATAAATCTATTCTTAAAAGATCATGTGTTTTAAGGGTTGTCTCCTTTTACGGGAAAAAACAAAACAAAACAAAACCTCAATGAAAATTATCGTGCTCTACAGCATAATTAAATTTAAACACGTTCGGCGGTCAATTCGCCGCCAATAAATCGATTAACACGTCAGAAAAACAAGACCCCGTAGTTAGCAAATGCTTATGTCATAAGTAAGTAATATTTGTTTCAAATCAGATTAAAATAACTTTAAATTTGCTTATATTGGTACACTTTTGTTTGTCCTTGTTTTATGAACTATCCTATCTATTTTACTTATATATATAAATGTGAGAGAGTAAGTAGAAATATTAAGACGATAGTGTATAGGAAGTGATTTAATGGCTAGATCATCCACAATAAATTTGCGTCCTTACAATATTTCACCTTTCAGAAATTCAAAAGGAGAGTAATGCATTCTTTAATTCAGCCTGGAATTTTGAAAGTAACTAAGATCAAGGCATAACGTGACTAAGTCATAACGTCCTAACTGTATGCATGTGAAACATCGGTTGCCTGTCGTGATCACTCAGCTTGAGCGCTTATATCAACAATTTTTGCGTTGAATACTTGGAAACAATTGGAGAATACATATCAGTGATGTAGAAATGCTTGAGCGAATTCACTGAGACATCATTGAAACAACAATTCCGAATTATAGATTGCGTTGAAATGGCTATTTTATTCCCATGAGCGACAACAGAATTCCAAATAGTAGATTATTTAGTCCACATGGCCGAGTGGATAAAAACGTCGGTTGAAGCTATCCAAAAAGTGACTTGAGCCAAAGAGTTATGAGTTCAATGGCCACAGAAGAGGTGAATAAAAACTTAGAGAGTTACTAAAAGGGAATCAATTGAAACTAAGATATCCAGAAAACGTATGGCACGTGGAACTAGAATAATCAACCCCCGCGGACTAAATAAATCATCTGAAGAAGGCCGAAGCGTAAAACTGTCGAAACGTCGGGAATATGACAATAAAGATGAGGACAACAGTCCAAACAATGTAAATACATAACTAAGTCTTACAATGATCTATTGGGACGGTTATACTCAACAGCAGGGTGACAGTCATCACCAATGTGTGTATATACAAGTTGTTTTTTTTAATTTTAAATTTTATTTTTTTCAATATTCGAATAAAGTATTTCACATTCTGTTGTGAGGAAGAATATTTTCCTACAAGTTTGGACTTAGCCATCGGACGAAAGACATGAAAATACTCCTAGCTCAAGAGCGGTAGCAGAAGGAGCAGTTGCAGCAGTAATCTTTGCTGAAAACAGTAATTCACAGCTAAACATTTTCTTCCTCCGTTTCTATTTTATATTATGTTTCCCTGTACCAAAAAAGTAATAAATTTGTTGTTAAACCAATTACGTTTTTCTATTATTGTTCTTCATAACTCAGTTACAACACATTCAGATCAAAATTGGTGATAAGCAGTCCAAAATTTAAGTTCTGTTTTATTTTTGTTTGAGTATTTTTCCCTTTCTCAGTCATTATCAAAAAATTGAGTGCTGTCATAATGGTAGAGAAGATTTTGGTAATTTTTTAAAGTACTGAAATTCGAATTTGTTGGAAGTGACGTCATGCGTAAAGGTTAGATGGAGCTAGACCGAACCGGTAATTTATGTATCAAATATTTATACATATTAATTATTATAATTTTGTACTCATGTTAAATATTTCACACACATTTCAAAATAGCGTCTCATGGAGTGAAAATTATTCCATTTAGTTGTTTCTTTTACGTAATAATAGTTTTTAAAATTTTAATTTTTTCCTTGAAGTGAGTGCTGTCTAGTATTTTGGTATGATCTACTAATATTTATCTTATGTTGAGAGTTTTATTTTGGTTGTTTGTGATGTGATTATTGGTATGTGCCAAAATTTCATAAAGTTTTGACAAGTGACAAGTTAACCTACGAGGGAGTGTGGTACATAAATCAACATAAGCACTCGGAGACTTTTTTTTATCATCTACGAAACCTTAACTCTTTTGAATGAAGAAATAAAATAGAAGAAATGAAAAGAATAAAGTAAAACATTAAAAGAGAGAAAAGAATGAATAGCGTATGTCCCGTCTCATCTCTACTATAGCTGCGTATTTGTTTTAATAGTGCCAAGGGTATACGTTAAAACCCCCAGCAAAATACTGGGTTTTTCATCCAGACAAACCCTGTTCAGGAGGGAGATTAACGTAACATAATCTTCTTATTTCTCCATCTTCGTTTGGTATTGTCCTTTATTAGGCTGAGCTTAGAAAGTATGTAGAAATGAAAGAAAACGGATTTAAACAGAATAAAAGAATAAAGATCAGAGACCCCCCCCACCTAAAAAATAATCAAGGTTAAAAAAAAAGAATAAAAAGTGTAAAGAATGATGGAAAGTATAAAGAAATGGATAGATGGAGAGAGGAGGAGGAGGAGGAGGAGGAGAAGAAGAAGAAGAAGAAGAAGAAGAAGAAGAAGAAGAAGAATATTGTATTGAAAAAGAGGAAAGAGAAACAAATAATTGATGGATAGAGAGAAGAGAGAAAGAGACAAATAATTGATGCGAAAGGTGAATACAAGAGAGAGGCAAATACATGATAAATAGAGAGGAGAAAAAAGAAGTACATCACGAATAGAGAAAAGGGGAAAAGAGACGAAGACTTAATGGATAGAGAGGAAAAGAGATAAATACTTGATGGTTAGAGAGAAGAGGTAAAAAGACGAATATTTTTTGATAGATAGAAAGATAAGGAGAAGAAAGAGAGACAACTATTTGGTGGACATAGAGGAGGGAAAAAAAAAGAGACAAATACTTGATGAGAAAAGCGAAAAGAACAGAAGAGGAAGAGAGTGTGTGTGTGTGTGAGAGAGAGAGAGAGAGAAAGGAGGGAGAAAGAGAGAGAAAGAGTGTGAAAGAGAGAAACGCCTGATGGCTAGAAAGGAGAAAAGAGGACAGCAAAACAGACTATTTCATGGGAACTGAAAAGAAAAGAGAAAATGAAGCGAATGTACAAAATAGATAAATCGATCGATCGATCGATCGATCGATAGATAGATAGATAGATAGATAGATAGATAGATAGAGAAGAGAAAAATCAAGAAAGGACGAGAGAAAAAATAGCTTATTAAAGATAGGAAAAATGGTAAGAAAATTCGGAAAGGGGAAAGAGAGAGAGAGAGTGAGAGAGAGAAAGAGAGAGAGTGAGAGAAAGAGAGAAGTCTAAATCAATAAAGAGTGATAGATAAAGATTTACGAAATAAAAGGCAAAAAGAAAATACGAGATAAAAAGGCAAAACATATATCAACAGTGCTTAAAAAGAAATGAAATGAAAAATTAATAAAAAGGAAAGTAAATTAAGAAAAAATAAAACAGACAGAAAGAGAAAATTAAATAGAAGAAAAGAAAGAAAAAAGAAACAATGAAAGAGAAACAACGAAAGAAAGAAACAAGAAGAGAAAGAAAGAAACAACATAATAAACAAAGAAAAAACGAAAACAAGAAAGAAAAACAGACAGACAGAACGACTGAAAAATAATGAAAGACAAAAAAAAGAAAGAAAGAAAAACAGAAAAAAAGCAAGAAAAAAAGAAAGAAAATTTTATGTAGCAAGTCTTTTGCACCTTGTTTGTCATTTGCTACTAATGCAATGCCATTTTGTTATTAAGACTAGCATGCCACAAAGTACGACAAAAAGATGAAAATGTCCGGTATAGAAAACGAATGAAGTGTCAAACTAAATCCCATCAACACCGGCTTTGTTTCTTTTACGACGTCAATCAAAAAACCACAAAATACAGATCAAGCCACTTTTACTTTTAAAATGTTTCTTTACATGAAACATTTTCATTATTTCTATGATTTTATCATAAGATTTCCAAAAATAGCTCAAAACTACTATTAACAGTTAGTACAACAATTTTTTTAAGAATCAGAAAGTGGACTGGGGCTGGCAGATTGCATTAGTGAGGGCTTCCATGGCCGCAATGATTAAAGCAATATCCATGGGAGATATCTTCCCAAGGTGTAAAATGCAAAATTAAGTCTTTTAGAAAGCTAATTCTGTATTTTTAATTTTCGAAAGACGTGTCGACTTGGACTTAATGTAGGACTCCGTGTTGAATCTGAGGCATCGTAGAAAGATGAATGGGGACATAACAACATCACAAGTGATCACTCTAAACATCTTTGTAATCATTAGACTCCTCCAACTCTTTCCGAATCCTTTGCCTCAGATTGACACCCAAACGCTCTGAAATGTTCGTATTGGAGCTTCCAGCGTGAATACCAAGCAGTACAGCATGATACAAATGTGAGAGGTGTGTGACAAATATAAAAATGGACAAAACAGAGGCCCGCTTATTCATAAAGTATTTTCAAAAGAAAGTTATGACACCCAAGGAAATCTATGAGGACATGGCGCTTACTGAGGACTAATGAATTATGGGCCGCGGAATTCAAGCGTGTAACAGTAGATGAACTTTGGTCAGGTCGTCCAAAAACCTCAAATATACAATCTCACCATCACCTTCTAACCATTGAAAAACAAGTTGATGCCATTCATCGTATGGTTTTGGATGACAGAAGTTTTACTGCCCAGCAGATAGCTAAGTCCATAGGTTCTGGTTCGGCCCATACTGTTTTTACTGAGGATGAGCAAGCTGTCTGCAAGATGGCTCCCCAGAATACTGCCACCAGAGCAGACGATTAAAAGGACTGACATTTCCAGGACACTTCAGACTCGCTTTAGAGCTGATCCTGAGAATTTCTACAGCAGTTTAGTAACTGAAAGTGAAGCCTGGGTTCACCACTTTGAACATAGTGAATCTGGTCTCGCAGGTTCAAGACTGTGCCTCTTTCTAAATCATTGATGTCCGCAGTTCCATTTTGACTGGGTTATGTGTGTTAAGTGTGGCTGCAGGGGACTTTGTGAGGTCGCAGGGAATTTAATGAGGTAGCAATATTTCCCATACGCGCGTTACGAACTTTAATTCATGTAACTCAACCGAGATCTCCTGTGAAAATTTCATGTTTATCACAAACCATCACCAGCAATAGAAATTGCGGACATAAAGTGGTGTAATTAATCTGAAAAAAAATAACGAGGCGAGTGTATGTCAAAACACTTGTGGTCCTTATGGACACCAACAGAATATACCCCCTCACGATTAAAGATCCATCACCAGATACACAAAACTCTGCTGGCCAGTCCCCATAGGCGATAGGCAGTGTGAGGCATTCCATTACAACATGCCAGTATTCCAAAATCCAGTGGTGATATTTTCTGATACAGTTTAAATGTAACAACCAATGCCATAGCGTCAATAATGAAAGCATTATTGGTCGACGGCTACGAAAATCATAAAATGCAGTGCGTTGACTGATGGGCTTGTGTGGCATTTGACGCAACGTTGTTTTTTGTCTTACTATGTTGACTGTTCTTGCATCGCAATGGGCGCTCGTAATTATCACGTGCCGCTGATGTGCAGAATTCACTTGTTCCAGTTATGCCCTTGCTTAAGAGCAGTTGACACCTCGGGGATAGTGGGTCCCGTTTTTCTGGATGCAACAATCATTCTTGCGATCAATCGATATGAAATACTGCTGCATTCCATGGCTACCACATCTACTTTACTTTTTTACGTCACACATCAATCTGATCTCATTTCTATGAATTGTAGCGGGTGAAACGATATTGCTGTTTCCAATGTTTCTTCGCTTCAATTTACACATACACTCACACGTATACTCAAGCATACACACACACATACACAGGCATACACACAAACGCGTGTGTATAATTATATATACATACATACATACATATATATATATATATATATATATATATATATATATATATATATATATATAACAGAAACTTTTGAATGACTTAAAATGTAAATCAAGAAAAAGAGGCTTGTCAGTGGTCAGGAATTAACTCGAATCTCCTCACAGTATATGTCTAATATACGTATAAAATAAATGAATTGTTAATGATTTTAGTATAGAAACTCATTGACAAACATTAAGAAAGCGATTGTCTGTGGTCAAGAATTACTGTCAAGGTTAATGACAATGTTAACCCTTTGTATGTATTAATAATTTTATTAAAAATGTCATACATTTATATATACATTATCTCTGTGTTAGTATATTTTTATCACAGAGATTAATTTTCAATTCAAAAAAATATATATATATATATATATATATATATATATATATATATATATATATATATATATTACATGAATCATTCATACAAAAAGTAGATTAGTAAAGTTAATGATATAAAATGCCGAAAATTCTTCGCAATTTTAAAGTTGCATTAATCTACGAACCACTCGATAAATGTTTTGATCCTTGTTTTTAATAACTACACGTTATATAAGTTTTTTTTTTAATCTGCTAGTACTTTCAACTGTACATACAGCCATCCTCAGGCATGGAAATTATTTTGTTTTTAGTAAATCCAGGTAGTAGCGGAGACGAAAGATGAAATGCGAATCGAAATATGTTTTTTTAGAAATGTGTTATTGTTAACGGATTTCCCAAAAACAAAATAATTTCCATGTCTGAGGATGACTGTATGTACAGTTGAAAGTACTAGTAGGTTAAAAAAAGACCTTATACAACAAGACCATGAGAAGGTTATTTTACAATCTTTTTCTGTACATGGTAACGCCTTCTATAAAAGTGTTCAAATGTCCATTCCCTTGCTATCTTTTATAATTTCAGTCGTCTGTTGTCCAATTTTTGTAATCCTCGGTGAATTATAGCCTCAGTTCCTGGTTCTTATTTTAGAGAAGTGCCACCAGAAGTGGTCATCGGCTGCTGTATCCCATTTGCTTCAAGATTCCGTGTTGTGAGTTCAAAGATGTTCTTCTTTGTTCCTCCGTTGTAAAGAGTGCTTATTTGAGGTGTTTAGTATCTTTCTATTGATTTCAATTGGTCTAGTCATTTTCATTTTTCATCAACAAAGAATTTTAAGCCCCAGAATTGCAATCACCGGAATCTTTTGTTTTTCTCACTATTTTCTATAAACCCTCCACATGGTCGTGCGTTTCATTATTAAAACAAAAGCTTAACACTGTTTTTCAAATATGTGATATTGTACTATAGCAGTAGATAAAAAAAAAAAATGTTCTAATCGATTTCTAAAGGCTATCCGATGTAACATATATCTGAGGAAGGCCAAAATACCCTGGCTGAAACGTTGTTAAAAAAGATGAAGAAAACAGTTATATAGCATTGGATTTAAGATTTCTGGTTATTAGATGATATAAACATATATTCTGACTTCATTTCCATAGCAATGTTAGATTTTCTCTGATTGTCAGGGAACATTATTAGTAGTAAAGAAGAAAAGAATTGCGGAAGACGAAATAGCGTTTCTGGGTAGACAGTGTAAAATAGTTTTAAAACGAGTCAAAGACAGCTCACATTTTTCTATTCAAATAAAAACGTAAATTATTTTATCTTCTTAAACACACTAGGGAAATAATTACAGTGCGAATTCCGATAAGGTAACAGCGGTGTTTATTTCATGAAACGAAAAACACATTTTATAAATTATTTACCAATTAGCACAAAAATAAATTTCGTTTTAACATGTGAAAATTCTCAGGAAAAAGATGATAGCATATTTGATGATGTTTTATGGGCTGTAAGAGATTAAAATTAAATATGCTATTTCTTGGGCGCTTCCGGTAAAAATCTGAAATTTGATCAATATGTCGGTGTACTGTAACAGCTTCAGATTAATTGGTTTCAGCACTAACGGCAATACAAGTGTTGGATGTAGCACTGTAGCTACAGTCTGTTTTTCTAATAATTATAAAACCAAAAAAAACAGTAGCTTTATAATATACATGCATCCCCTAATATCTTCGAGGATCGGCAGGTGAACGGCAGACGGTAAAGAGATGCTTTCCTAAGTGATATTTGCATGAAGTGAACGTAAATATCGTCACCTTGAATTTGAACTCGACACACAAATTTCCATTTTTCGCGCTCATAGCCATTACTACTATACTCTATTTTTGGCATTTACTTGCATCCTCACTCTGAGGGGATGGGACACAAAGTCAGTTTAATGTGGGATGTCCATGGAAAATGTTCTGGCGAGGTACATTTCTTAGTTTAACCAGTTCAGAGCTTTGCAGTTAAGACCCGCCATGTCATAAACACAGGGTCGAACCATCTTCACTCCATTCGTATTCCGTTAACAAGAAGGAAGTTCTATTCGGACAAGTTCTTCTCAAGAGCCTCTACTTTATGAATCAGAGAATGCTTCCCCGAACAGTACAATCTTAAACTCTTCAAGTCAAACCGTAACCAATCATACTTATCCTCGTAATCTGCACTTACTTCCACCTCCTACGTCCATGTAACAATGTCATTTATTAACACTCTACCTTGAGTGGCTTCTGAGCCTTGTACCGGGTAAACATTTAGTAAAAAATCTTATTTCCTGTGACCATAGTAAAGCTGTCATCTATATCCACCAACTCTATAGTGCAATGAAGCAGATGCTGCTGCAGTTTTAAAAACCCCGTGACTGGGCTTCTCTCATAATTTTAAGAGAAACAGAGAAAAAAAAATACTACACTTAGTATTTACTTGCCGCCAA